GAAAAATATAATTTGAAATCTCAAAAGAATTCAAGAAAACTCAAAAATTACTTCTTTTTTTGAGATTTGCTGATAGTCAATTTTAATAAAATACTCTGTATATTTTCTGTATATTTTCAGTACGATTTTAAAGTTCTTCGAGATCTTCGTCGTTGCTGATGAAATTGATAAATTATAAAGATGTGTTTGAAGAATCGAAAAAAGTTTATTGTCATTTTTGAGTGTGAACGTTTAAGTTTTTTTTTCTTTTTTGCAACTCTTTGATCTTTTATTTTAGCTCAATATGAAAGTATAAATTAAAATACTGACTTCTGTCCAGTGATTTCTGCTTGAATGTTAGTCTTTTTTTAATTGTACTAATTATGGTGGTTAAATGCCATGAGTTTTCTTGGGGTTGATACTGGGGTAGTTTCCCGTTGTTTTCTCCACGGCGATTTATTGATACATTACCTCTAATTAGTTGGTTGTTGACTTATCAAGATTTCTTCCGCCCTTTGATATGGCTTATTTTTCATCCTACAGGGTTGCTAAGAAATGTAAAGTGGGGTGCCGGTTTAGTCAATAGCATTCATACATACATACCTATACACACGCCCATTATATATATGGAAATAATGCCACCATGACGCAAGGAATTACTGGGAGTGAAAGAGAACGAGAAGATTTTAGAACGAACCGGAAACCAAATCCTAAATAGGTAACAAGGGATAAACCTCTACTTCTGTTCAAAAGACCGGGGAGTAGGGTGAACCGGATATATATATAATATATATATGTTTTTAACTTAGTTAAAGTGCTAAGCAATATTATTATTATTTGTTATTTTTTTTCATTTAAAATAACTTCTTACCTTGATTTTTTTTTTAGTGAGAGAGGAATATCTCTATTCACCATTTAATTTTCGATAGTAGCGAAAATGTTTTCATAGTAGAAACTTGAATTTTTTTCTTATCTTTCTTATAAAGTGTTCTCTCAGGCAATTAAAAGAGAGCAGTTTCATTTTCCAGGCGTTAGAATTAACAAGCTATTCCTTGCCCCAGTTAACAACAGATTGTAGGTCATTTTTTAGAACAACTGTTAATTTGACGTTATCGAACCAGTTAAACTTACTATTTAGACAAAAGTAAATAATTGTGTCATCAGCATAGATACCAAGCTGAGAACTGATGGCATCAAGAAGGTCGTTGATGAAAATTAAGAACAACGTAAGCTCAAGGATAAAGACACGGGGAATACCTGTATTAATGAAAAAAGATCTAGAAGAGTGGCCAACCAAATATTGAATCAGTTAAAAAAAATTCGTCCAGAAATACCATAACCTTTCAACTTATGAAAAAGACCAATACATCAGTAGCTGATCTAGAGAAAAGAAACCCATATTGCTTATCTGAAAGAATACCCTGCAAGGTGATACGCTTAACCAATTCAGAGTTGATTAGAACCTCTAGTCCATTGCCAAAAAGAGGTTGAATGCTAATAGGTTGATAGAAGGATCAGATAGTTCGTCTCAGTTCCTAAAGACTGAAACTACAGGAGAGGATTTCCGACAAGCAGGAAAACAAGAAGCAGCAAGGCATTTATCATAGAATCTAGAGACAACAGGAACCAGTTCAGGAGCACATTTCTTAAGGACTATTGGAGTCCGTCTATCCAGGTTTTTGTTGCTATCTGAGTGTCGGGATTCCAAACATTTAACAACAACAACACTTCTTTTAAATGAAACATAGAAAATTTTCTGAAGGAAAAGAAGAAGCAGAACATCATTTGAAATAACATTTATATCTTCTTTTCAATATCAATAAAATGTTCAGTTTTACTTGCAGTGAAGTTTGTTTTATAAAGTAATTAAGTGTTCTTAAGCGGTGTGAAATGTGTGAACAGACTAACTTTATGATGGTCAGCCTAACGTGTTCGTGAATTCGTAGACAAAGGCTTAATATGCAGTTGTGTGTGTAGACCATGCCTTAGTAGGCGGCTGCTGGCTGTCTCTCTTTCATTGTGTGCTTGTGTGTGGGTGCGTCTATGTGTACCCACGTGTAGATCAAACTGGCCTTCCTCTCAAACTGTTATGAGCCTTGAGAAGAAGTATGCTTCTATTTTTATAGCCGTAAGAGGATTCAAAATCTAATTTCACATAGAGGTGTGAACTTTTTGAATACAAGGTTTTCATTGGTTAGAAAATAATTTCACACTGATTCGCAAAAATCTTTTTCTCGAATTTGAGGAAGTGGTGAAAGGAGTTATTATTGTTATTTTCTAAATGCTGCAAAAATAACATGTGACAGATCTGCAACTACGTCTGTCAAGTATTTTGGCGGTATCTGTCCTTGTAATGATTGCTTATCAAACAAACTTTCTGATGATAGAGATGATAGCAGAAACTATGGACAGAGTAATGTACATAACCCCGTGAGAAAAAGAAATTATCAAGTACAGAATTTTTTTTTTATTTTTTAGCAGTTACAATTAAAAAAGTCAAAGAATACATGGTTTACGGTTTAAAGGTTTCAGTTAAAAACGAAAATATATTTGGCTTATATATATATATATATATATATATATATATATATATATATATATATATATATATATATATATATATACACGGTAATTATTGGAAAGTGATCAATATCAGTGATAGAACTAACATATTCAGTTGTATGGATATGAGTTTGTGACCCTGGGTTTCACGCTTTTGCGATCATCAGACAAACTTGTTTATTTTTTAAAAATTAAATCTATTTATGTTTGTTTTTGTTTTTTTTATTATATTTGGTGGTGGGAGGGGGAATTCTCCTCTTTGTCCGTTTTTGGATAACACTCTCACACACACAGACATACATACATACAGGTGTACGCATTATAGTTCAAGCAAACATACCCATATAACAATCTGCGCCAAATCTCGATTTGTTTATATGGGTATGTTTGTGTGAACTATAATGTGTACAGTTGTATGTATGTGTGTCTGTGTGTGTAAGAGTGTCATCCGAAAAACGAACAAAGACGAGAATTTCTCCCCACCACCAAATATAATCAAACACAAACAACCATTACTAGATTCAATTTTTTAAAAATAAACCAGTTTGTCTGATGATCTCAAAAGCGTGAAACCCAGGGTAACAAATCCACACAACTGAAATATATATATATATATATATATATATATATATATATATATATATAAAGGAAGAGGTTAGTAGTTCCAACGAGAGAAAAGTGTGTATATTAAAAAAGAGAGAAACCGCAAACGTTTTTGGTTGTAATGTGAATTTTTTAAAAATATTATGCTTTATTTTCCACAATTTTGGAAAATAAAGCATATAGTATTTTTTTTTTAAATCTACATTACAACCAAAAACGTTTGTGGTTTTCACTTCTTTTTATTATATATATATATATATATATATATATATATATATAATATATAAATATATATTTTTTACAATTTGTAAACTGATGATATGTTTCTGTTGCAAAAACAAATTGAACTAGACTTTTCTGCATTAAGGGCTGTTAGTTGAACGTGTTGCTTCCCTATCCGTACACAAAAAATAATATAAAGTATATTAATAAAAATAAAACGCATTTATTTTCATGAGTTTTTAACTGACATCTATCAACTCCCACATCAATTCAGTTATATTATTGGTGACTTCTGACTGTGCAATAATGAATTTTCGGGTTAAAAAAAAAACCTCATTCACAAAAAAGGAAAAAAAGAAAGGAAGTAAAAAAAAAATGAAAATGCTCGGAAAAAATAATTACCACCGAAGCGCATATGCCCATAGACAGTGGTCATTCGATACAGGCAATTTCGATCAAACCGCAGTCTTTTATACAGTCCCGACTTGGTTTTCAGTTATGGAAGCCCAATTTAACATCACAAAAACAGCACAAACAAAAAATTATCATATAATTCCATCACTCCAGATATTGTAACCAACTATTTTACAACAAACTGATTACGATATACAACTGGTATTCATTAAGTTGCAGTCATTACAACATATGAAAAATCTAAGCCCGAATTGCTAAACAAACTGATGTCCATCTCAGTCATGACATGTCATCCCTTGATATATTTAAACGAACCAATGTCCCTCGCGAGCCAGATTAATGTCGGTGACGATATAGTTCAACATAAATTTATTTCTACAGACTATTTCTTCATGGATCAAACCAATGTTAGCAGCTCAAATTGATCCCAACATAGATCGCCCAGGAAAAATGGCAGACGGCCTCTTTTATTTTAAGAAGAGAATGCGTAAAACCTACAAGTATCCCAAGTACAAGGACGATGCAACAAGACCACAGTTCCGTCTCCGAATAAAATCGACTGCTCGCCCAGTGTTCGATCATTTACAAAAGCCCAAAAACCTGTCGGGCTCATTTATACTATGCAGAGCGTGCAGATATTGTACAACAAGAAGGACTGTATACTCAAGACCCCCTTTACTAGTTCCTACATCCTATACTCAACAGCACTTGGAAAACTAATGTGACGGGTCGGAGCTTCAACCCTCGAAATGCCACTCATTGAAGTTGCAACCAGGACAGGTTGTGCCTCTTTAAACCTAGTGGTTGATACAGTTGCAATTATCACAATCCTCCCAACTAAATATTCAGGTTTGCTTATGTTTGAACCCTACTGCCATACATTTGTCTTCAGCAGACAATCAACCTATACCTTGTTATAATGACCTATTAGTTGAAATTTGTTGGTTGATTCGATTTTTACGGTTTATCAACCCTTTACAGGCGATTTAAATCCAGAAAATATTTTTTTAGATTGTAATAATTTTTTCTAGATAATGATGATTTAATAATACAAGTTTTACTAATTAGCTCATAGTTGGGGGAGAAGAGGCAGGTTCATACTTTTCCCAAGGGTATTTACGCGTATGTGAATATAACGAACCCAACTGGAATTGAAACTTAGCTCTTCGATTAACACTTCCGAACTTTTATCTATTACACCACCCGCACACCCAAGCTTATAGTTCCTGGTATTCCCGAGCAGTTACCCATCTAAGTACTGACCAGGCTCGACGTTGCTCAACTTCGGTGATCGTACAGGAACCGGTGTTTCAACTTGATGTGCATATTTATTGTGCTTTTAGATACAATTTTCGTACAAGACCGAAAGGGAAATGGGGTGAGGCTGGTCGTCTCTGATTATCCTAAATGTAGCTAATATGATTCGCTACTCATTCTTTCATTAGAATTTATTCATTCACCACAAGAACATATTCCTCATCACCCAATCCTACATTTACCAAAATACCACATACTCACAGGGTAGCCTACATGATGTAAAAATTTATGGATATTTACAATTTTTATTTTTAACTTTTTTTTTACAAAAATATATAAAATTATGTATCAAAGTGATGTGGTTGTAAGACGTGATTTTTTCAATTACGTAAGCTCATTTAAACAGGATGTTGTCGTAGCTGATGTCATCAGTGCATTATTAAGTAAATATTTTCTTGCTCATTATGGTCTATTAATGGGCTGTAAATAGATAAATACTCCTCGTTGACTTTTTCAAGATCTGACACTCATACAACGAAAGTAAAACATACTATTGACACTGGTATTAAAAGTCCATCATTTGCGACAACTTTTCCCAGAGAAACATTACGCTGCTAAAGAAGAATTTACATATTTACTCAAAGCTGGGATTATTCATCAGTCTCGATCCCCTTGAGCCTCTTCTTTTCATTTGGTTCCAATGAGTACCCTAGATAAATGGAGAACCTATGGTGATTACTGATGTTTCAATACCATTATAGGGATTGATATGTTTTTCCACGCTCTCATTTTATTCGCCTGCGATTGGCTAGTAAATCACTACTACTTTTATATAGGACAATTTAGCCATCGCAGTTTTTTCTTTGAATCCTTCGGTTTTGAGCTTGCTTGCTTGTTCTGTTATTTTAGTGCAAGATTAAGTTTTCCCGCGTTGCTGTGGGAGGCTACCCTTTTCCATATAAGAGGCGACTTTTTCACAAGTCGTCAGTAAGATCCAGTATAAAATTCACCTATCCATACAAGTCCACGATATTGCTCATAACATTTCAAATCAAACGCACACACAGACACAGAATTTTGTAATATAAACTTACATTTCTCTCTGTGACTTAGCCAAGCTCAATCAACCAGGACTCTGTTGATTTCGAACCATTCTATAACACAACACATTTTTGATAAATTTTATTCTTGTGTTATCTATTCTAACAAACTGACCTTTGTTCTAATATTGATTCCTGAACATTTTTCTCTCAAAAAGAACTTTCTTCGAACAATCAATTACAGATCAAAATACAATTAAAGGGGAACAACTTCTTTCCCTTAATCTATACATTGAATACAATTTTATTGCATGTTTGTTCTTGTATTTTATTTCAATATATACTTGTTGATTCACAGTTTGGAGTTTTTTTTTGTTTACTTGAATCCTGTACGTTGAAAGTATAATAATATAAATAGTATTGGTCTATCTACAAACGGACACCTTTACAATTGGTAACCCCAATTTTCCAAAAATAAATCTTTCAACCAATAGGCCCTTACACCATTAATAAACCGTTATCTGATTCCTAATATCCACAGCTTAACTACTAAACTCCACATGAAAAAGATTTTCTCAAGACTTGACCTACTCAAAGCTTATTATCAAATACAAATCAGAGTAATATCGAAAAAAGAAAACAGCTGTTATCCCTCCATTTGGCTATTTTCTATACTTATTCATGCTCTTTGCATTAAGAAATGCTGGTTGTACTTCTAATTGTAATTTATAAACAATTCATTCTTGAATATTGTTTATTCATATACATGTACGACATATTGACTTTCTAAGAATCACCAAAGCAATTTTTAAATGATTTAGAAGCTGTTTTACAAATCCTTAATGATAATAACGCCAGAATTTCTTTTGATAAGTGCTTAATCTTACAGATTAGCTTAGATTATTTGGCTTTCATATTAGAACTGATTGGTTATCTCCAACTGAACAGATGACAGATGAAATTAAAAACTTTCCGGTACCTGACAGATCAAAATCCTTACGCCATTTCTTGAGTATAGTGACTATAGTCGGATTTTACCGTAAATTAATTCCTCATCTTTCTTTACCGAGTCAATTAAAATGGCCCTAACTCTACCAACCTTTCTTTTACTAATTATGGACTTCAATCTTTTAATGTTATAAAGCAAAAATTGTTCCAACGGAATTTTGGAAAGAGTCCACAGTAGCTAAAATCTACACTAGCCACAAAAATTGACCCTTACAACTTGGTAGATAACTGTAACTCTTCTGTCAATACGAAATACCTTAAAAGAAACACTGCACACCAGCAGACATCGTTTTTGGAACCTTGCTGACATTACCTGGTTAATACTTTGAGGTAGACAAAATATCGACACCATCTACGGATTTTGTCAATAAACTAAAAGACAAAATGAATAGGTTATCTTTTACACCCACTATGTGTGACCAAACAATGTTTTGTACCTGCCGATCTGCATAACTGCGAGTATATTTTTCTCAGGAATGACATAGTTAAGAAACCATTTTTCCCAAATTATTCAGGTCCCCATAAACGACATGAAAAATATTTTACCACTCAAAAAAAAAAAAAAAAAAAAAAAGAAAAGAAAAAAGGACACCGTATCAATTGACTGTTTCAAACCTGCTTACATGAAAAAAAAATCACACAAACACCTGACAGAAATGAAAACAAACCAACAGACAAAATGCCCTCACCTAAAATTTCAGTACCTCCAACAACAACAGCAAAAAGTGGTCGCACTGTACATTGGCTACGATATTAAGAAACATACATAAGAAATAAGATTACATAAGAGAATCTTCTTCAAGCTGGGTGAGTATTGTTGGATTATCGCACGATAATCACAGGCGTCAAGATTTTGGAATTATCTCCCTCTGACGATAATTACAGGCGGCACGAGATTTGAAAGACTCGATCACTCTCTCGGTGACTTTTCATAACGAAAAACGTATTATTTTCGTTCATTCAAAATGTAAGTAATCAACTACAGACCCTTAAGGTTGCTTTACACTTTTAACATTTAATTTCATTTCTCATCTTTTCTTTTGAAAAATGTCTTTCCAATATATTTGTTAATATTTCTTTGTTCAAATTCTATGTCTTATTTTTCCTTTGAATTTATACGAGTCTACCAAAATTGTTAGCGGGTCAAATATACCAGGAACTTATAAAAGCTCATCAAACTTGATTGTAAAGTTGTATCAATGTAGTTTTGGAATGTCAGTTTCCAGTGCTTATGTAGATTTTCAGATTTAGCTGCGTTTGCTTGTCTCGAAACATTTTGGTTTTAACAGACCATCCATTATGACTTTATGTAAGGTAAACAAAATTGATGCAGCCCAAGTCCATGTAAGAGTATTTATTTATTGAGGTTTTTGTTTAGATAAAAACAGAACTAGAAAGTGTAAAATATAATTTTATCCCCTTTCATTTGTATTATTATCATTCATTAGAGAATAACTAAAGAAATTGTATTATCGCCAGCCGATTTTAACTCTTGCGGTTACTACAACTGCTGATGCACACATGTATACGCCTTTCAGCGCAAACATAATCCCGCGTATCAAAGTTCACATTCACAAAAGAGAGGAATCTCTTTCAAGACACACATACAAATAAAAAACTATTTCACACTTGCATCATCAAAGAAATGACAATATTGCGTATCTTCATTCAATGTTTAGATCATTCTGTTTATCAGCATATAAAACAGTGTTCAAAATATTTAATACGACACAAAGCTCTATTTGAACTGTCAGGAAAACTTGATTTATTTGGGAAAGATATTAGAATAATCCAAAACTTTTACTGGGAGAAAGCCGTCTGCATGTAGGTGCACACAAATGGAAAGGTGCGTAATAACAATGATGTATTTCTCACCAGTTTTATTCAACCTTTACAGCGATGTGATCCTATGAGAACTAGAAGTCCTACCATGATTTATTATTGGTGGGCATACGATAAGATTACTTGCATTATTTACATTATTCGAGCTGCTATTCTCATCTTCATTGCCATATTCACAACATTTCGGCCGTTGTACGCTCCGGCCTTCTTCATAGTGATTGAAATTTCGAACCAAATTCTTTATTTCGTCCACCAGGGTAGATTTTTCTAGTTCCACGTGCTATGCCTCTTTCGGATATCTCAGTTATTTCCCTTTAACTCAACTCTCCAAGATTTGGTTCACCACTGCTGTGGCCTGGTATTGAACTCACAACTCTTTGGGTCTAGTCACTGAACCTCAAGGATACATGGCCCAGTGGATAAAGACGTTGGTTAGATCCAAAGACTAGAACCAAAGATTTGTGTTCAATACCAGGCCACAGCAGTAGTGAGCCAAAACTTGGAGAGTTGAATTAAAGGGAAATAACGGAGACATTCGGAAGAGGCATGGTACGTGGAACTAGAACAATCTACGCTGGTGGACGAAATAAAGGGTTTGGTTCAAAAGTTCAATCACATTAAGAAGACCGCAGCGTACAACAGCCGAAACGTTGTGAATATGGCAATGAAGATTGGGGTTACAGTCCGAATAATGTAAATAATGCAAGTAATCATAATACCTAATCTCAGAGATATAGACAGTTATCATAAGTTACACAGATGCGGACAAAGAAAGGAAACTGCATCAACTTCTAGAAAAGTTAGTAAAGGAAAATGGGATAAAAGGACTAACTATCAAGTGTAAGAAAACAGAATGTATTGTCGTCAGAAAGAGGAACAACAGTACAAGACGCGAGCTACGAATTGAAAATGTCAGAATCAAGCAAGTACAAAATTGTAAATATCTGAGAATGTTTCAAAAGACGACAGAAAATGTGACACTGAAATCCGAAGGCGTACTGGAATAGTAAATAGTCTCTATTCGCATTGGATTAGTAAAAAGAAACATTCCAAATGTTAAACAAAGTATTAAGGGACATACATATTTCGTTCGAAACAAAGAAAAGAGTACTGAGCTGCTATGTAATATCAATCTTCCTATATGATAATGAATGTTAGACAATTTCC